TAACGCGGTTTCACTTAACGCGTTTTATCATATACGCGGTGCCTCGCCAGAGCTGAACTTTCACTTAACACGGATTTTTTCCACATATACGCGGTGAGTGTCCGGCTCGGCTCGAGACGCTATTTTTAGATTTGCCCCACCAGCCACCCTGCCTGACTGCCTGTTTTAGCTCATAAAATTCATACAAATTACCCGGCCAGAATATAATTTACATTGCTGGAATTCTTATAATTTGGTGATCATTTTGAATATAAACATCATATATTTTGCATTAGACATACAAATTTTAGATAAAAATTTTTCTCAGAGTAACTATGTTATCTTTTGTGCAAAATATATGACATTTATATTGAAAATACTCCTGGTCTTACAAGGAATCCAGCAATGTCAATTATATTATCCTAACTTTAGTTTGAGGTATTATTTATTAAAATTTAGTGGTTATCCCACACATCTCCTTGGGACGGTTGGTGGGGGGTGGGAGGGACCGACCGACCATCTGTTACCCTGTGAAGAATTTTTTTTTTTTTTATTAACTGAAGATATTTGTTTTAGCTCATAAAATTCATACAAATTACCCGGTCTGAATATAATTTACATTGCTGGAATTCTTATAATTTGATGATCATTTTGAATATAAACATCATATATATTGCATTACACATACAAATTTTAGATAAAAATTTTTCTCAAATTAACTATGTTATCTTTTGTGCAAAATATATGACATTTATATTCAAAATATTCCTGGTCTTACAAGGAATCCAGCAATGTCAATTATATTATCCTAACTTTAATCTGAGGTATTATTTAATACTAAATGTTAAAAACTCTGGAAGGGAGGATTGGTGGGGGGTGGGGGGAGGGTTGGGACTGACCGCGCGGTTGGAAGAGGGGAGGAGGCAAGGTGGGGTACTTTGATTGATAGATAGTGTCGTGAAGATTATTTTTTTTTTTATTAACTGAAGATATTTGTTTTAGCTCATAAAATTCATACAAATTACCCGGTCAGAATATAATTTACATTGCTGGAATTCTTATAATTTGGTGATCATTTTGAATATAAACATCATATATTTTGTATTAAACATACAAATTTTAGATAAAAATTTTTCTCTAGGTAACTATGTTATCTTTCGTGCAAAATATATGACATTTATATTCAAAATATTCCTGGTCTTACAAGGAATCCAGCAATGTCAATTGTATTATCCTAACTTTAGTTTGAGGTATTATTTATTAAAATTTAGTGGTTTTCCCAAAAATTCTCTGAGAGGAAGAGCCGGCAGTAGTGTGAGAGGAGGAGTTGAGTCCATTATTTGAATGGACATTAACTTGGCGACTGTATTTCTTAAGTATTAATTGTGTGCATGTACCATCATAAAATTAAGATGTTATTTTACTACAACATAGGTATGTGCTTTCAAAAAGTGGGAATTTGGGGGTCGGGCCGGTTTCTACTGAATTAATCCCATATAGCCTTGTTGTTCACTTAACGTGGACCCTCTGGGGTTCAATTGACCAAGTATAAGTATTAATTGTATATATATATATATATATATATATATATATATATATATATATATATATATATATATATATATATATATATATATATATATATATATATATATATATATATATATATATATATATATAATCAGCGGTAACCACCCAGTAAGGTGCGGTAACTACCATTATTGTAGTTGGGAAGTATTTCGTTTATATTTTCCCACGAAAAGTTCTCTGAGTTAAAGGTTTAGTTAAAAGTATTATATTATTATCAGAATAAAGTAAATGTGCTTGTCATATTAAAGTATTATGATATAATTAAGTAAATCAGTAATGTGAGCAGCTCCGATTGGTCAACACACCAAAGACTATATACGAAAGACAGGAATCTAAACGAATCGCTGTGGTCATTAGCTCTTACAACTGCTGGATCAGCTCAATAGATGGCAGGTAGTGAGCACTGTGCGTCGTTTGCTCTGTTTACATATACTATGGGTTGTTTACTTATACTGTGGTTTATTTACATATACTATGGCTTTTCACAAATACTATGGTTTGTTTACATCATCTTACGGGTGAAACTCAAATTCAAAACAAACGTGATAATGAGTAATACCATATTTAAAGCGTTTCTCGTATAGTAACGGGTCAGCTCAACAGATGGCGCTGTTAGGATGATGTAAAATATCACATTTTTTTATCGATATAGACGGTAACTTTTCCGTCCTACACAAGTTTATCTGAAGCTGAACAATTTAGAGTAATGTACAGTATTATTATTATTTCTGTTTATTTTTCCGTAGAGGTTTTCTTATTGTTTCTTTTCTTTATTACGATATTAATTCATTTAACCTAAATTTTTTATTAAATGTTGTATGTTCTATTAAGGTTGGATATATTTTTAAGATTACCTTATTCGGATAAGGTTTTTGGCGGGAAGAATAGTAGACGGAGACGATTGAAGTGGCGATGCCTCAGTTTCAATACAGACACAGAGGCGGGAGGTGCTGTCGGTCGTCTTGTAGGAATTCGTGGTATAATGTTGTCTAGCACTCAGGATGGATGGAAACTCTAAGGTGGTTTTCTTGTATAATACAAGTTATATGATAGACAGTCTGGTGCTGGAGGTGCCGTGTGGTGAGGAGCTGCTCAGTGGAGACGTTCGGTGAGTAGCGTGTTGAAGGAGGTAGATGTGCAGGAGCTTCGTTAGAGAAGATGTTGCCTGTTGCTGGCCTCCTGGTTGAATGAAAGCTGGACAGCGAGGAGCTTGCTGGAGTAGGTGTTGCGTGTTCAAGAAGAATGGCCAGAATGAGAAAGCTGGTTGGTGAGGAAGCTCAGAGAAGGACAGCTGGTGGGTTGCCATGCTCGCTGGCGGGAGCTAGGACCGCCAGGCAGGCGGAGGAGAGGCGAGGGCCGCCAGGCAGCGGCGGAGGAGGGGGTGTTGCGTGTTGTAGAAGTGAGGCCAGAATGAATCTCAATGGAGAGACAGAGCTTATATACCCAGCAGCCGTGAGTCATCTATGAGTCATGTTGGGAAAACCTGAGAAGTAACCGGTCTTTGGCTCGGTTGCTAGGATACGGTAGCATCTGGTGACGCCGCTCGTTTGGTTGCTAGGGAAGGCGTCGCAGGTGGGATGCAGCTACGCAGTTTGTAGGGGAGACGTCCACTACAATACTCCCCCTTCCCTCCAGGCGGTGTAGGAGACTTGTTGTCTGTAGAGTTGCTTAGCACATGTGAGGCAGACCGGGCGGTGCATGCCTCATGTGAGACAACGGCGATGGCGTGAATGAGCCTGGTCGCTGATTACAACTGTCAATATACACACTATCTGTGGGAGAAGGGAGAAAAAGGGTGTGTGGAGGCGATGAATGTTGTGCTTCCCTCACGACAGGTACAGGGTCGTCAGATGCGCCTGCTGGGGTGTGTGTGTGGGCCTGGGTCAAGAGCAGGGGCTGCGTCAGCAGAAGCGGATTAGGGCTCGTGACAGCAGCTGGGTCCACGACAGCAGCAGGGTGCAGGACATTAGCAGGGAGTACCTGAGGGAGAAAAAAGGGTGTGTGGAGGCGATGGATGTTGTGTGCTTCCCTCACGGCAGGTACTGAGTCGTCAGATGCGCCTGCTGGGGTGTGTGTGGGCCTGGGTCAGGAGCAGGGGCTGCGTCAGCAGAAGCGGATTAGGGCTCGTGACAGCAGCTGGGTCCACGACAGCAGCAGGGTGCAGGACATTAGCAGGGAGTACCTGAGGGAGAAAAGAGGGGTGTGTGTGTGGGTCCGCACTCAGGAACAGAGGCCGCGTCACGGGTGGCACGGGTTACTGCTGGGCCGGGGTCGGCGTCTGAGGCAGGACAGGTGTGCTGGGGTCGTCAGGATGTGGTGCTTGGGGCAGGAAGAGGAGCTGGTGTCTGCTTAGAGTAGCAGAGCTGCTTCTGTGTGGATAAGCCATTCTTCTATGCTGCTTGAAGACTGGGAGCGTGATCAGTGTCTCCTCCATCCTGTGTGAGTGCTAATCTCCGGGAGTCACCATTTGTAGGAGTTCGTGGTATAATGTTGTCTAGCACTCAGGATGGATGGAAACTCTAAGGTGGTTTTCTTGTATAATACAAGTTATATGATAGACAGTCTGGTGCTGGAGGTGCCGTGTGGTGAGGAGCTGCTCAGTGGAGACGTTCGGTGAGTAGCGTGTTGAAGGAGGTAGATGTGCAGGAGCTTCGTTAGAGAAGATGTTGCCTGTTGCTGGCCTCCTGGTTGAATGAAAGCTGGACAGCGAGGAGCTTGCTGGAGTAGGTGTTGCGTGTTCAAGAAGAATGGCCAGAATGAGAAAGCTGGTTGGTGAGGAAGCTCAGAGGACAGCTGGTGGGTTGCCATGCTCGCTGGCAGGAGCTAGGACCGCCAGGCAGGCGGAGGAGAGGTGAGGGCCGCCAGGCAGCGGCGGAGGAGGGGGTGTTGCGTGTTGTAGAAGTGAGGCCAGAATGAATCTCAATGGAGAGACAGAGCTTATATACCCAGCAGCCGTGAGTCATCTATGAGTCATGTTGGGAAAACCCGAGAAGTAACCGGTCTTTGGCTCGGTTGCTAGGATACGGTAGCATCTGGTGACGCCGCTCATTTGGTTGCTAGGGAAGGCGTCGCAGGTGGGATGCAACTACGTTTGATAGTAAGTTTTATTTTTAATGTATTTAATTGGTTAAATTTATACTTGTGTAAAGGACGATATATTAAGGTTATTTATTTGTACTGATTTATTTTAAAAGGAAATACTTAAATGGTACAAGGAGCACTAGTGAACAAGCATAGGTTAATGGTCATTAACTCTCACATTGACAAGTTACCTTAAAGAATACTTAAAAATTTTGGCTCGATGATTTTATTTAAATTAATGAAATACGATTAAGTTTTGTCCAGTTCATAGTGGCGGTGTTCATAGTGACGGTGTTCATAGTGACGGTGTTCATAGTGGCGGTGTTCATAGTGGCGGTGTTCATACCCACGTGACTGTCTTGGTCTTGTATGTTACAGGATTTACCTTAAAAGTATTTGTTACTCGTAAGATTTACGGTAACACTGGAACTTTGGCTGTCCATAGGTTCCCGCCATGTTCACCCGAGGTCTTAGTCACTTGGTTAGGGTAGGTAGGTGGGTGGGTTGGATCCTTTGGTTTGTGTATTTTTGGCGTTTTACTCAAATTTGACTTAATTTTTTGTGCAAATCGGCAGTTTGTTAAAAATTAATGTTCATTTTTTGCAGAAACCGATAATTTGCTAATGAAATAAAGGTCAGATTTGAGTAAAAACTGAATAAGTAAAAAAAAAAAAAAAATTCTCTTACCAAAACCTGAGGACAGCCAATGTACTGATATTAGTTATCTTTTCTTTACAGATGATGGATCCAGTTGTTGTTGTATTAAAGGCCAGTTTGGTGCATCAGTGGTCGTCAGCGTGGATAGTACAGCACCTTATTTATTGAGGTAAGTTTATTAGATGCATTTTCGTTAACTACCAATCACCTTTTTCCATGTATTTTTTTCTCTAGTTTTCTTGATTTGGAAGATTCTTAATTTATCTTTGAGGCGAATCACTTCTTTTATTCCCACCCCAACGATGTAGGGGAGATTACTAGCAATATTTGTTTGTTTAAAGTGGGCAGGGCTTTAAAGTAGAGGGAAATGTGGGGTAAAATACTATAAATTACACCAAACAGCTCTTATAAAACCTAACCTAACGTTTGCACTTCTAAAAATCCAAAGGTAAAAGTTTATCTTATTCACGTTTTTGGTGTTTATTAGGTGGTATGATGAGGGATTTATAAATTAAGCGATTCCTAACATTTTCTCAAGGTAGGAAACATTAGGTCTGGTTTTCAAAGGTTTGTTTGGTGTTCTTTTTAGTATTTTACGAACGAGAGCGACGTTGTCACCATAACATCAAATTAAAATACACTACCACAAATAAATCGTGGATATCGTGTTTAATTTTGGAATGCCGCTAAATTAAAGTATACATTAGTTTCTCGATCTATTAAATGGTAAGAGAAGCTCGTTAAAAGGTGATGGGTGGTTAACGAAAAATGACGGTGTGTTCTATAGTAAAATGTCAAGTCTGCTGCATTAACTTTGCAGCTGGGGTCAAGGTGTGGTCGATTGCATCTGGACATGGCATGTACTGGCTCTGTTACACTATTGGCAAGTGCTGGCTGTTACTGTTGGCAAGTACAGTACTGTAGTCACAAAATTCCAACAGTAAACGACTCGATAAAAACAAATTGCCCAAAGATTTCTGGGCTTGTCATTAACCATATGTTGTGACCTGTAGTGGGGCGGGCTTCTGCTAGTTATGAACTCTAGACTAAGTAATGCCCTATTACAGGTATATAAACTTGTCTCGAGTCACCCCCCGTGCCTGCCTATAAGCTGGACAATGGCATAAACCAATTGGCTATCCTTTACACAATATGCCGGTCACTCATTGGTCTATACAGCACTGTAATTATTCATTCATACGTTATGTTTCAATATAGGACTTACAAATGCCATTTTCAAGTCATTGGGAGACGTCTTGCTTGTTTATGCTTCTATACAACAAGATTTAGGGAGCTCACTGCCTAAGTCTTTAACACTGGAAGCTCCCCATCAGGGCTCTATGTACCTTTAGTTTTGATGATTTGTTTTAATACTTGACTGAGAACAATACTGTGTTGTTACTCCTCAAACACATGGAGGTTTGCAGCCTCTGGTGAACACTATTTGATGCCTCTGGTCTTGCCCTGATCCGAGTAACTACGATCTTGTCATGGGTCTGATGTGCCCACGCTTAGAAAGCTTTTGGGACTTTGCCTTGACCTCATTTGGAATCAGACTGGCAATCTTACTCAGTCTTTCTACAATCTGAATGGTCTCTGTATTCATGAGTCAGTGGGTTTGATCTGCAGTATACAGTATATTTTATCACTCCAATAGTTTACTTAACTGGCTATATTCAACAGCGTTTGCATTTCTGTTTCTCGGTGATTTCATTCCTCCAGTGAGTCACCCATTTGCTGTGTTGAGTATTGATGCCTGTAAACTGACCTGGCTTAATAAACTGCAGTTCTGTGATCTATAATACATCCAACAAAGATTAAGTCTCTTACCTTTAGTTTAATTGTCATTTATATTCATATTCCTTCAAGTACCTTCACTTGGCTGGCTCTAAGGTCCTGACAGTAACTGGATCCCTCTTAAGTTAAATAACTGCCGTCAGCCTTGGCATTATTGACTTGCCTGCATCTATAGTTCTCAGTTTGTCCAATATGTTGTTCCCAGTTCAGTTAATACAGGTAACTATACTTAATACAGGTAATTATACTTAATACAGTTAACTGTAATTAATATATTAACCATACTTAATACAGGTAACTACTATTGCTACACTAACCTGGCCCGTAGGCCCTGCCCCTCTTCTATACTAACAGCTGATTGGTAAATAGAAAATCCAAACTGTTGACAATAGGTAAACAGACCTCTTAATATATAAAATAATAACTATCTGGACTATTATAATGTAAATGATCTCAAGTCGTTAGCTCTTCAGAGGATGTTAGAAAATGTTAAATATTTATTATAAAAGGTTGATATAAATACAGGCTTGTATACACAGTCCGGGGAGGTAAAATGCTCGGGAACCAATGAGCTATAAGGATAGAAGAGGGGCGTGGCTTATAGGTCAGGTTAGCAGGGAAATACTATACTTGTATTCTATATAAACTTTATACCAGGTGAAGAATGTGGATTACCTGTTATAGATGGTGGAATTTAAAGTTTTTTTAACTAGTTATTTATTAAACTGTACAAGAAACTTTATGTAGTTGTAAAGAATTGTAAATTAATGTTCTGGGTTGATGGCTTGTTGATGTTTGTACACAGTCCTTGGATTAGTCTAACACATAATTGTAAATGTTAGTTTCTTCAAATTTTAACTTGGTTTTGATTATTTTGAGTTACTTTTTTTTAATGTTGCCACATTCTTAAAATAAGTTGATGGAGAAAGTGTTGTTACTCTGCCTTACTCATACCAACAGTTCTTAATAAACCTTTTCTTCACTAACAGATACCTTGCATAGTGGTCATCAATAATCTAGTACTGTACAGTTGTATGAAACATTGAAGGGGGCAGTTAACAGTATAATCAGGGAGATGACTACATAATACTGTACACTGTATCAAAGCTTATTTATCAATGTTTATATCACTACTGTTAGACCTATGGTAAAAATAAGGCTGTGTTACTTTACGTTTTTCTCCACCTTTCATATCTGGTGCTTAAGTTGTGCTGTGTAATGCTTCATGTACTCAGTAAACTAGTTCACAGGTGTTCCTTAATATACTAAGATATTGTTCCTGGAAATACTTAAATTAAGTTTTAAGTAATAATTATTCATTCCAGGATGATGACCACAAGAGTTCTTCTGGTAACCTGACTCATGATGCACCAGAGACACAAGTCAGGTTAGGTACAGTACAGGTCATCTCTCATTGTGTTTTCTACTCTAAACTCTTGACAAAGAACATAATTGTAACCCATGGACTGCATTGTCTAGTTAACTCTTCTAAGTGTAAATATCAATAGAGTATTTGCACTGAACAATACTTGGGATGCACCAATGAATTGATATCCGCTACAGATAATATCAATATTTTGCTGAATAATCAGTGTCTGTAAACAAAGTATTAGTTGATGCCATTTTGCTGTTTTGGGTTAATAAATTACTCGATCATTTTTATTATCGGCAAAATACAGTAATTACGGAAACCAGTTACTGTAATCTGTTCACTTATTATGGGAAGTTTACACTTGGCCGCTGATCATAATGTTTTATTGGATAACATGGCAGTGTCCTCTGTGGAAGTCTGTCTATAGCACTTCATTGTAAGGTAATGGATATATTAACAGGCCAGACAAAGTAGCTTTTGTTTAATGTGAAGAGAAAAATAATCTGGTAAAGACTGTCACTGATAAGATTGTTTTATATACTGTAACATCGGTAAAGTACATTAGATATTTTGTTGACCAACATTACCCAAATCAGAACCAAGAACGACCTGCTACAGTATCATAACTCTTAGAATGAACGACATAGGTTGTTGAGGCTGGAGAGGAGTTTTTATAACAAAATTAGTCAAAATGATAAATACCATGATTTAAATCCCATTTTATTAAAGAATGAGTAAATAATGAATAAATGTTCCAAAATAAGTCTTAAATATTAGAAAGTCGCTGTTGCTTAGAAATGCTAGTCTTTAACACCACCATCTCTGTACAAGTAAACATTAAGCTGATGAAGACCACTTGAGGATAATACAACAAAAATGGCCGTCACGAGGAGACTTTAACTTCGATAATAAATAAATATTAATTTAGTAACACCGCAAGATAATATTTTCTGGTCTTGGTCTGGTTTATCTGTTGTCCCGATGCTGCTCTGACCCGACTCTTATTGCTTTCATTTTCACATCAATAGTAAGGACTTTCCCGGGCACCTTGGCTGGTTTACCAACACTAGGCGAGGGCCGGGTTATTTAACATTGATGAACATACTAACGGCAAGTTTGTTTTATTTAAATACTGTATTTGGCCGATACTTTGTTTATAGTCTGGCTTTGGTGGTGAGACTATATATAGTGACTTAACTGTTTTACCTGCATGATAAAATTGCCCTAAATTATAGCATTAACTCTGGCAGCAGATTATTGGGAGTTTTGAATCTGGTTATTAATGGTGCATTACTAATGTGTTGTTCTTCAATTACTGTACAGTGGTCCCTCGGTTAACGAGCACAATTCGTTCTAGAACGTTGCTCGTTAGCCGAAACCATTGTTTCAATGGGTTTTTGGGTAATTGGTTCCAGCTCACGGAAAATTGCCTAAAGTCAACAAAAAAGGTAGTACACTTACTTTGAGGTGTGTATGTAGAAGGCTCCTGGATGATGATGATGGGGGTGGAGGAGAAGGGAGAAGAGAAGGCATTAGGGTGGAAGAGAAGTCACCCCATGGCACCATTTTAATACAAGACTTTTGAAATTATTGAATAGTACAAACTTCTTGATATTTACTAAAATAGTAAGGAATTTAAGCCCTAGAACCGATTACTGTATTGGCGGATTAATACGATAGCTAGTGTGCAAGCGAAAACATGTTGAGGGGCGCTCGTAAGGACTTCATTAATCGAGGGAATGTTCGTGAACCGAAGTTAAGAATCCTATGGAAGGTAATTCGTTAACCGAGGGATCACTGTACTAGATTAAGTGGATTAATGTGGTACTTCCATAGAGGATAAAACCTTCATTTTAGGGTCATGTTATACAATACTGTATTAGGATAAATTAGTATTGTGAAAATATTTTACTTGAAACTTTTTATAGGTAATAACTTGTGACTTTACTTCCAGTAGGTTCTGGACCTTGTCAAGGAGAGGTGTGCACTCTGCTGTACCACACCTCTTGCCTCACTTGTACTGCTGTACCAGGCTTCTCTCCTCCAATATCAGGATGGCAAGTGATTCACAACATAACTAAAGGAAGCAGGTGATACAGCCCAGACCCAGCCATCCACCCCTCCTCTCTACCTCAGGTAAAGAATATAACAAGTTCAGTTGATGTAAAAATACACAAAAAACAAGATATTATATATAAAATAGCCTCGGAATGATCACTTGAGGGGAGTTAAGTTTACTTTATCGGCCTGTGTCAAAATGAACTTTTCCAACTCTCGGATTGGAATTTCTCTGCCAGTTTATCCTTAAAACCAAAGGCAAACAAATTGCTCTGGGATATTCAATGACCATACTAGATTTCTTGGTGCTATAAATTTCAAGACAAAATAGAAAGTAATGGAGAAATTATACTTAAATTTATATATAAGAGAAAATGTGTAAAGGGTCGAGAATATTGAAAGGGGATTATGGGGCTAGAATTGATGTACAGTCTTGGTCAAAAGTGCTGAACACTTGACAGTATTTGGCATGTAAGTACCGAAGATCTTTTGTATTAAGTAGTTTAGTCCTATTTTGTGGTTCAGGCATAAAATGATAGTACTGTTGTGTTATTAGTACAGTATATCCCAAACATATAACTCGAGTAGATGACAGATATTGCCATGTGTTCAACACTTTTGATCCTGACTGTACCTATGATCCTTTATTGATGACAGGAATATTATAACAATTGACCTAAGTTAAAAGCCCCAAAACTGGCCTCTGGCCGTAACTACTTATAACTTCTCAACCAATCGTTTAATACATCAAATTTATAACACCAGAAATAATTATTGGTCATGTTTATGCTTGACTTTAATTCAGTAAAGTACATAAAGTTACCTACAAGATGAATATGTTTAGTAAATAATAAAGTACTCTTAGCAACATTCACTTGTAATACTGTACCAGACCTGTGACTGACCCACTCGAGGAATTCATTGACGTAAAGTAAAAATATTCATCACAAATCAATAAGTTCTGGGTCAAGTCATTGAAAGAAAACATTTAAAATATATTAACAAAACTATGAACCAAAGATACAGGAAATATTGTAGTTAAGCATCAATAACTATTATGGTTAAACTAAACTCACTTGTGGGTAAGTTTTGTAATGAAAGGATTTTGGTTTTTATAGTTTAGTTAATATGAACCATAACTTGTACACTTAGGTTAAGTTGCTGTACAGTTACTGATAATATTCCCTAGACACTTGTTCTCAAGGATCATTTGGTGAAAAATTTAAATTAACAAAAATTCTTATTTTTCTATTGAGTTTATAAATTTGGTTCTGTCAAGTGTTAAGGAATTTTGTCTAAAACACTACAGTTCATTTTGTCATTACTATATTTAAAACATTTTTATGGTTAAAAAATTTGAATATTAATTTTACATTTTATTTTGTACAGAAATGTTGTTCTGAACACTGGAGTGCCGTGCTGCCCTAGACTGTGCTTACTGGCTACTGCCTTGGACTTCCCTGTACTTGCTTGCTGGCTGCTGCCCTGGACGGGTTTCTGTTTGTGCTGCTTGATACGTTCCTGACGGTTTGTTTGTGTGTAAAGGTTGCTCTTTAATTACCGGCTTCTGATTGCTCTGGTTTGCATACGTTGTTGCCCTTAACGCCTCCCCGACGGTTCTGCTCTGCATGCTGCTGTTCTAGACGGGTTTGCTCTCTGTGCTTGCTGCCCTGGCCTGCAAATTTATAGAGCCATTAAGTTTCCATTAATAAATGTCTAAATGTCATTACGTCTTTATTAACCTTTTCCAGCATTTTCAACTTTTACAGAAAATTGACTAAGTTCAGCTTCAGATTTTGAAGCAAAATAATTTAATGAAATACTTGAAAAAAATCTTAATTCATTATATACAAATGAAAAATATATAAACTTGAAAAATAAACAATATATATTGTATATATATATATATATTGTATATATTGTATTTAAAAATAAAAAAATATATATATATAAATAAAAAATATATAAATAAATAAAATATATATAAATAAAAAATATATATAAATAAAATATATAAATAAAAAAAATAACTAAAATAACCTAAACCTGAAAAAAATAGCTAAAAATACAGAAAAATAGCTGAAAATGTGAAAAAAATTAGCATTTTTTATGAAAAAATGGCTAAAAATTGCGAAATTTGAGTGAAAAATGGCCTTTTTTTTTTTTTTTACTTTTGAGTTAGCCATTGCCAGGAATAACGTTGAAAAAATTTGGTAAAAGATAATCGGAAGGGTCTCCGGAGGAAGGCCTTCAAATTATCATTCACCAATAATATAAAAAAATACAAGCATAACGGACTACCTGGCCGTGGGAAGAGTAACTCAGTAGGGGCCCAGTGAGTTACTCTCCCCACGTCCAGGTAGTCCGTTATGCCTTATAATACACAGATGCCAAGCTGGAGCTCGTAAGAATGGCACAAATGTTTTACCTCTAAAACCACACAAAAATTTTTTACTCAAAATATGCCCAGGAATAATTTTGGCCATTTTTGGACTTAGAATATTTTTAAACAATGAATTTTTGGACTTAGAATAAATTTTGGACTTAGAATACTTTAAACGATGAATTTTTGGACTTGGAATATTTTAAATGATGAATGTTTAGACTTAAATATTTTAAATGATGAATTTTTGGACTTATAATAATTTTTGGACTTAGAATATTTTAAATGATGTATTTTAGGACTTAGAATATTTTTAACGATGAATTTTTGGACTTAGAATATTTTAAATGATGAATTTTAGGACTTACAATATTCTTAACGATTAATTTTTGGACTTATAATAATTTTTGGACTTAGAATATTTTAAATGATGAATTTTTGGACTTTCATTGAATAGGATCGCTGTAATTCATACTTCGGCTTAATTCGTATGTTTCTCAAAAAATTAATTGAACGATTTGAATTTGGAATGAATATGAAATAACTGAGTGATTCAAAAAGTTGCCTTGGCTGTCATATACAATATTATATTTATAATTATTATGCAAATATAAATAGTTATAAAATGTACTTACAATAATAAAGTAAATAATGCAGTAATAAATAATGAGAGGTGAGATCGTAGATGATATTCCATAAGTGTAACGGCCACACTGGTAAATGAAGTAAAAACCCTCATTGGAGAAATATAAGATGAAATTTTGGAGCTGATTTGACTATAGTGCATTTTTTATCAGATGAGAAGAGATGCCCCGCCCCCTCCTCAAGAGTTACACCTGATTGGCTGTTGCAAATCTGTCCGATTTCCTCCTAAAGTAATGATGTATTTCTAAATGAGTTTATTCATAATGACCATTTCTGACGAGAAAGACATTTAGCTAAATTATATAAAGATTCATACATTAATTATATCAAACATAAACATGTAGGAAGTTTATCAGAAATATTATACAAGAATTAACTGTTAAACTCTGGTGGCAAATTGACGCTTTCGGAGGACGCATTTAATATATACTTATTTTTACCCGCAATAATACACAAATTACGTATCTCTTCTCAGATGGGATAAAACACACTATAGGTCCCTCTTCTGCCAACTAACACAACAAAACAAGGGAGAAATACATAGAACAAAGGAAAAGTCTCCTGAGTTAGGTAGGTTGGGGATTAATCTTCTTGATGAGAGCAGTGGACCCCAGACCTGATCCTCAATACTATTACACTTTCTGAATATCATCCACATATTATCAGTTCACCTCACAATGTGCAGTAAGTCTTACAGTTATTTATTACTGTATTATTTACTTTATTATTACTGTTTGTGCACTTAAAAAATATTTGTTTGCACAGTAATTATAAATAAGATTATTTTGTGTGGCAGTCAAGGCATGGTAACTGAGTATGTTTGTTGGTTGGAATAATGAGGAACAATCTGAACAGAAAACGAACGAATAATTGAACAAAAAGATTGAGAAAGTGTCGAATAATGTCAAAATATTCGGAACTCGGTTAATTTGTATTTTCATAAATTCGGTGGACCACAAACAGCACTACACCCTCATTGATTTGACAAAAGAGACTCTGCGTCACTCGAATTACTGAAAATACGAATTAACTGAGTTCCGAATATTTTGATATTACTCGACAATTCCTAAATTTTTTGTGTTCAATTCCTGTATTCATTTGTTTTCTGTTCAGATTGTTCCTCATCATTCCAACCAACAAACATACTCAGGTACTATAGTAGCACCGACATTTCTTTACAACCTATCCTCATGTCATTCTTTGCCTACCTGTAACTCCCTCCTCCATGAGTTCCCCACGTCCCTCTCCCCGGCCCATCCTCACCACCGGGATATCAACATAATCAAAAAGTGACATTTCGTTTCGGAAAGAAGTGGAACCAGTGTTGAACAGTTATGAACAGTGTTTAAGCCAGTGAATTCAGTACTAGACAGTACCAGTGAGAGCCGTGACCCGCCAGTGAAATAAGCACCGCTGGGAACTGACCGCCATCTCCTGACAAGGAGGTGCTAATCAGTCCACCCTGAGAACAACAGTGGGTCGGCTTCACACTTGACTTCGAAATAACACAACACCACCCAGTAGGGTGGGGATAGGTCAACAACTGCAAATATGTTGCCTGTATAACAAGTGAACTACCGTGGGTTGAGCACTGTGTCGTGTGTAGGTGCCCGCGAGGCAAGGCCTATACCCTTGTGGTCACGCTCGGCCATGTGGTGAGGGTTTGTTTACACAAACCCCCCTCCTCATAGTGTGCCAAGCTGGTTAGTTCTTTTGAAACTAAAATTGACTTTGATACTGTATCTAACCAGAAAAACAGAGATACTATTAAGAACAAGTGTAGTGTAACAAAAGTGTTTATAAACTGAGAAAACTCCTGTTACCTTAGTCCCCCCGACACCACACTCCCTCCGCGGGAGGCCCGCTCATGGCCTCCCCTCACACCGCTAATACGCTGTACAGTAGATGCCAATCTCCTTTGTCCTCTAAGAGGGTTACGCCTCCCAACCACCGCTGACTTCCTAGGAGTGCCAAGCAGTCCTCGGCCCTCTGACGTAGGCATATAAGTCGAGCCCTGTAACTCCACCATGTCTGAGTTGGCTGGAGACCCAGCTGCTCGCTTTAACTCTCCTGATGCACTGAGTGAGCCAGGCGACTGTGGTGTTGACCTTGACACCAACGGAGAAGATGGCTTTCAACTAGTTCAGTCCAGGAACAAGCGGAAGGCCGAAAAGGCAGAAAGACTTAGAGACAATCAACTACAACCACAACCCCCCATGAGAGTAAGATTATACTTCCCTGAAGGTATATCACCTGAAGACAAGTATCTCTGGCTGAACGATGCGGAAGACAAACACCCAGAGGCTGAGTTTCAGTTCAGAGTCGGTACACAAGATCATGTTCTGATTAGAAACGACCCAGCAGTCATACAGGATCTCCTCACCAATAGCATAAGGGGAATAACTATGGAACAATCATCCCAACCATCGAGCAAGAAAACCATCTTAATCATAGGGCTCGACCAGTACCAGACCCCTACACTACTAGAAGCTTATCCCGCCATCAGAAGGACGAAGCGACTCAGGGGCAAGAATGCAGTCATTGCAGACTGGGTTGGCTCGGAAGACCCACCCAAGACCATTCGAGTCCGTGGTGCCTATCGGACTTTGAAGGTAACTCTCTATCAGCCCCCTAACCGGAGGTGTTACAACTGTCAGCACTGGGGCCATGTGGCCCGGTTATGCCCCTCGACTAAGCCGTGGTGTGGTCTCTGCTCAAGGCAACATGCAACACAGGTTTGCAGAGATACAGTTGCTCAAGGGGGTGTCATCCAACAGAAGTGTATTAACTGCAAAACAGTTGGAGTTCCTGTATGGCACCCTAACTGTTCTAGAGCTCCTACACCCCTTCAGCGCCCAGACCCGCCACCCAGGCAGGTCTCAAGAAACACTAATGCTGCTAGGGTACTCCCTACGGCCAACCCCTGGCCTGCCCTCCCCACCAAAGCTCCAGGATCATCACCAGCAGTCATCGAAAGATCAGCATGGGGCAACACAGACGTACCGACACAACAGGTAGCTGCCAACACACTCCGTGCACATCGTGAAGAGATCAATGATTTGAAAAATGAAATTAAAGAACTCAAAGCTCAGTTTACAGCTCAAACTGAAATGTTAAGGAGCCTCTGTGATACACTAAAGGAAAAAACACCACCAACACAGTGCAGCAGCTACGGAAAAATTACAGTCAAACTGAAGACATTCAGATGTCAGTACCAGATGTGGAAACTCAAGACCCACCAGGAACTAGTGTCCACGCAGAGGAAAATAGTGATACTGGTAACAGTTCTACTGATGCCTCTGTGGACATGGTCAGTGAAGATGAACAAGCACAAACAGAAAATGGTGGTTATGTCGAGTGCAACCAAAGTGTGTTGTTGTCTGCCACTGAAATACAACAATTGTTGAGCCGTACGTGCTCCAGAAATGTTTCAAAAAAGTTAACTGGCCTACTGCCTGCC